CAGAAGTTGCCCCATACTCTTTGGGCAGACACCAGGAACAGCTATCCCCAGGAACCAGCTCCTCATTGTCAATGGCTCAGCTCAAGGCATCCCAGTCACCATCCTCTTGGACAATGGAGCTGACCAGTTCTATGTCTCTCAAGACTTTGTGAGGAAGGCACAGCTTACTGTTGAGCCCCTGGCAGGAGCTCAGATCACCATGGCAGACAACAAGAAGTACCCAGGAACTGTTGAGATTCAGGCTTAAACCACGCTGTATGATCTATAAATCATGTGAGATCATGCTGGGATGTCATTAGACAGTTCACATCTGATTTGGCTAAGTTACAACATGGGGAATTGGACTTAGAGTAATCAGAATGATCACAGACGCGTGTGTGAATGATTTAAAGGGGTAAATCATCATGTAAGCACTCTTAGAAGGTCTGGAAGGTTTGTGATGATCTAGATCTTCAGGTAATGTTTGCCAAGGCATGGCTGAAGCTGCTGAGCACTGCTGAGCATGGCTGAGCATGTAAACAAGTGGGCTGAAGCATGTAAACAGTAAACAAAGGCAGAGGGAGGCTGGAGAATGTACTGGGTTATATAAAGGGGACTTTTGAACGTCTCTGGATTAATACAAGCATGTTATCCCACAAGTTACTGCACCCAGAAGTCTTACTAGCGGCCACAGGCATTACTAAGCCTTTCAGAAGTGATTTCTACACGGGAAATCAGTGTTCCAAGCGCTAAGTTCAATACTCATCAAGTTTTGACCGCTTTTCTTTTGGAATATGAGTGTAGGCCACGCAGCCAAACACTCTGAGGTGCTGGAGATCTGGTTTACCACCTGTAAACTCTTGAAATGGTGTTGATTGGTTGCTGAGTGCTGCAGTGGGGCTCCTGTTCCTGAGATAGACCGCTGTCATGATTGCCTCGCCCCAGAACTTGTAGCTGAGTCCACTGTGGTGCAGCATGCACCTTCCCATTTCCACCAGCGTCCTGTTCATCCTCTCAGCAACACCATTCTGCTCTGGTGTGTAGGGGGTGCTGAATTGCTGCTGAATTCCCTTCTGCTTGCAGAATTTCTTGAATTCTTCGCCCACATACTTACTACAATCCACCAGACTGCTACCTGAGAGGTTTTGGTGTCATCTCCCGACTGAGCAAAGAATAGGAACTCATTCTGAGTTGCCTGACTGGTGCTGGCTTGATTGGCTTGTTGTTTGGTGTCCGCCAGAAACTTCCTGCAGTCCTTCTTGAAGTGACCCTTCTTGTTGCAATAGAAGCACTTCCCTGCTGTCTTCTTGGTCCCACCATGCTTGCCAACCTTCTGCCCGCCATCCCTGCTGAAAAAAGCCTTCCCTTTCCTATCTCCTTCACCCCCAGCTTCCTTCCTGCATGTTTCTTCATGCAAAAGCCATGATGCAAGGAATTCTGGTGTCAGAGAGTCACTCCTGGCCTCCAAAGACACCACCAGATGTTCATAACTCTCTGGTAGGCTGTAGAGTAGGGTGATGACTTGGTCTTCTTCACTGACTGGCGCCCCAATGGCCTCCAACTGCTGAGCCATTGTCCTGACCGTGTTTATGTGTCCCAACATGCCCCCAGTGCCGTCTTCCATCTTCAGAGTGAGAAATTTCCTCCTTAGATAGAGCCTACTGGCAATTCCCTTCCTTTGGTGGATGTCACTGAGCTTTAACCAGGCCTCTTTTGCAGTTACAGTGGTCTGTACATGCGTGAGTTGGGCATCACTCAGTGACAGAGCAATTACAGCCATTGCCCGCTCATCCCTTCTCCTCCAATCCTTCTCAGAGGTTTCCTCCATGCTCTCATCCCCCTCAATCACACCCCACAGCCCCTTTTCCTTCAGCAACATTGTCATTTTGAACTTCCAGAGGTGGTAGTTCATGCCATTGAACTTTTCCATTGTGAGTTTGGTGTCCAAGTCCATGTTTGACATGTCTGAGCTGATTTGGTGAGTGGATTTGTTGTTGGGGAAGAGGTGAAATCGTCCTGGTGTGGTAGGTGGTCCAAATATGAGGTTGGGAAGAGGATAGGTCCGTCAGGAAGATGGTGTGGCTGTCAGAAAAGAGATTTGAAGCAGGAAAATATCAGTGATAGCTATCAGGGCTCATAACCTATTGAACTTAGTGCTTGGAACACCGATTTCCTGTGTAGAAATCACTGCTGAAAGGCCTAGTAATGCCTGTGGCCGCTAGTAAGACTTCTGGGTGCAGTAACTTGTGGGATAACATGCTTGTATTAATCCAGAGACGTTCAAAAGTCCCCTTTATATAACCCAGTACATTCTCCAGCCTCCCTCTGCCTTTGTTTACTGTTTACATGCTTCAGCCCACTTGTTTACATGCTCAGCCATGCTCAGCAGTGCTCAGCAGCTTCAGCCATGCCTTGGCAAACATTACCTGAAGATCTAGATCATCACAAACCTTTCAGACCTTCTAAGACTGCTTACATGATGATTTTATTGAACTTAGCGCTTGGAACACTGATTTCCCGTGTAGAAATCACTTCTGAAAGGCTTAGTAATGCCTGTGGCCGCTAGTAAGACTTCTGGGTGCAGTAACTTATGGGATAACACGCTTGTATTAATCCAGAGACATTCAAAAGTCCCCTTTATTTAACCCAGTACATTCTCCAGCCTCCCTCCGCCTTTGTTTACTGTTTACATGCTTCAGCCCACTTGTTTACATGCTCAGCCATGCTCAGCAGTGCTCAGCAGCTTCAGCCATGCCTTGGCAAACATTACCTGAAGATCTAGATCATCACAAACCTTTCAGACCTTCTAAGAGTGCTTACATGATGATTTTATTGAACTTAGCGCTTGGAACACTGATTTCCCGTGTAGAAATCACTTCTGAAAGGCTTAGTAATGCCTGTGGCCGCTAGTAAGACTTCTGGGTGCAGTAACTTATGGGATAACATGCTTGTATTAATCCAGAGACGTTCAAAAGTCCCCTTTATTTAACCCAGTACATTCTCCAGCCTCCCTCCGCCTTTGTTTACTGTTTACATGCTTCAGCCCACTTGTTTACATGCTCAGCCATGCTCAGCAGTGCTCAGCAGCTTCAGCCATGCCTTGGCAAACATTACCTGAAGATCTAGATCATCACAAACCTTCCAGACCTTCTAAGAGTGCTTACATGATGATTTACCCC